TTTTAGTACTAAACTTTTAAATTTTTTTCAAAATCATACCTAACATTTAGGTTTTGTTTCATTTAGTACTCCATCGTTAAAAACTTAACGCGTTTAGTCCATAAATCATCAGTTTTAGTTTGTTTTAGTATCTAACTTTCGATTTTGTTTCAAAACTTAACATTAAATTATGAATGGGGGTACTAAAATGAAACAAAAACTAAAATTTATGTATGGTTTTGAAAAAAAAAGAAGGTTTAGGTACTAAAATAGATTAAAATTGATAATTTAAGTACTAAAAGTGTAATTTGCCCATTAAATTGCACTAGAACACAAGTCATAAATAATACTCTTACCAACGTAGCATTAACTGGGGCGGATGTTAACAAGGATCAAAGGGATTTTACACCCCAAAGTTTTGAGAAATTTGCATTATACTCTTAAAATATTTTAGAATTTTTAAGTAGGTCCTCCAAAATCTTTAAAAAATTTCATGAAGTCCTAGAAAATTTGAATAATTTTTATTAACCTCAAAACTTTTGATATTTTTTAAAGTTCTTATTTAGTCCCATAATTATTTTTTTTGAATTTTTTTTTGTTAGACCTCAAATTATACCGTCAAAATGGGTCACTGAGCATTACTGTATTATTTAGTTCTCTCGGTTGGTTTTTTGGTACATGAATGTACATTAAAATTAAAAGTGGTGTTAAAACTCAAGTTCTAAGCTCTTATGAGTTTGACTCTTGTGGGTGTTTAAGTAAAACCTTTTTATGTTTAAGTTGGAATTAAAAGGCAGAACCCTTAACGTAATGGCCACTAAGGTCACATTCATATTGGCGCCCATCTATATTGACCTAAGAGAAAGGGCATAAAAACCCACCACTCATGACTATAAAGACTAATGTCTCAATAGTCATCCTCTTAGATTACATGTTCGTAAAAAGCTCAGCCTCAGAATCTTATGGGGATGATTATGGTTTCCCAACCCTCTAGCAATAAAGAAAGCTACACGAAATACTAATAATAATATACTAGAGAAACTTAAACAGTAGAACATATATATATATATCGAAGTCTGATTCAATCTGTTTAAAAATATTAGAATAATTCGATCTTCGAATAAATATTTTAAAAAACTTTAAAAATCAACTGTCTTTTTAATCAAACCGACGTTTGAGAGTCACATCATAATTTTTTTTCTCCTTTACATTTTGGAGCATTACATGGCACTTACCTCATATGAGTTGAAAGGGCAATAGAGGGTGTAATGGGTTTATTCAATGAGGGATTAAAAGTAATCAAGTTTTTGAGAGAAAGTTAAAGATTAAAAGATGGAGAAAAAAACATCAAAACATGTTATTCTTTGAGTTCATCATCTTACTCATTTCCTCTCACTATCTCCCCCCCTACAAGTATGATTGTTTTTATCATTTAAGTCACTAATCTTTGCTTATTTGTGCATTAAGCTCAGTTGACTCTATTTCAATGTTAAGATAAGCTTTATTTTTCTTAATGGTGTAATTTGCAAGTGAATAGCAAGATAATCAATGGTCAAAGTTTTACATGATGATATTGGTAAGTTGATGTTTTGACCTAAAGAAACTTTTTGGACGATAGCAACAAGAACTAATTGACGACAAGTTTATTTCTTTTATTATTTTCTAAAAAACAAATTATACATGGAAAATAATTATGTATGATCAATTACTAAGCGGCCTCAATGGTAGAAGAGAGTATTGTTCTCTTTAAAGATTCTGAATTCGAACAATTGTGTTTGCATAGTGTGTTATCAATGACTAAGAAAGATTCTGAACATATATTACTTGTAATACGCTTATATTATTTAAAAATAAAAAATAGGAGGGAATTTAGATTAAAAAAATAAAAAATAGGAGGGAATAGAATCTTTTTATTCTTATTTATTTAATATTTTTTATATAACAGTTATAAAAGATCTACCTAGCGGTTACCGCAATATTTCCATCAATGGCAGCGGTGTTGGTCTCCTCCGACCATTTCCCTGTCAATTTTACTTTATTGTTGTTTGATTTTATTAATTTTCATGAATGTTATAACGTATTTAGAATAATATTTTCTTTTGACTCCTTTTCTAGTAAAGGGTATTATTGCTACCCGTATTTTTTTACTCTCGTTGTAGGTTTCTTCTATTGGTCTTTTTCTCGGTCTATGGTTTTAAGGGATTTCATGGTTGCTTGCTTTGTCGATATCTGGTTCCTTTATTTGTTTGCATATGACATCCTGTTGGTCCACGAACATAACTGACAGATGAGAATTTGGTTAAAGGAGTTTTCTTTTTTATTCGTTCACTTTGGATATTCTTAAGGTTTTTCTCCTATATGTCTGATACTTTGGGAAGTCGGAGTAATCCATCTCTGTATGTCATTGGCTCAATTGTTCACGTTGTCGCTCATCAGGCTATCAACGGTCGATCACTGATATATTTTGTTTACGATAGACATATGTATTTATCTTGTACGCATGTGACAAGACGTTGTTGATGATATTTTATTTGATCAATAAATATATTATAATTCTATTTTTAAAAAAACATTGTGTATTTTTTAGTAAAAAGAAGTAGTTTATTCTTTAGCAAAGGTTGAGATTTAGTTTCTGTACGTGAAGAATTAAATCCTTAATTCTATTTATTTATTTTTAAGAGTAAATTTAGTGTCACTTTCATGTTATTTAGGCAAAGAATTTTGTGCTAATCACAATATGACAGCACGCAATACGAGTGGTTTGCAAAGATAATAATGTTCTTTCGCAAAGATAAATAAAAATTTAAAAAATTTATTTTTTTAGTGCATGGTTATAATGCAATGCATTGAAAAACACATACATGATGTACAAATCATGATTAGGCCTGTTAATATTGCCATTAAAAAGGAAATCTATTGAATTACATCCGACAAAATTCAATCTTTTACCCTAAAGCAACCATGTTTTCATTGATTTTTTTATGAAATTGATCACATAATCATTCCTTTTTTTAAAAAAAATCATGAGTAATTTTGTTCTTCGTGGTGAGTAAATTTTGGTCCGGCTCTCTTATTTTTAATATCTCAAATGGGGACATAATAATAATGAACTTTAAAAAAAGAAAAATAATTGAAATAATTACCAATAAATGCATCACATTGAACAACATATACCATCATGGGATTCAAAAAATTATGTTGTGTTGGTGAGGTGCAACAGGCTAAAAAAATGAACACGTCATCAGTTTTTTTTAAAGAACATTATATTATTTATTGTTTAATGTAATAATAAATAATATACAAATGAGACTCTCTTTTTTTAAATGGATTTTGCATGCTTTGAAATTTGTTAGCATTATTATATTGTAATAATTTCAACGATGAAATAATTTAAGTTATTTCCACTGAAAATGAATTTTTATTCCTCCTTTTATTTTAAAAAATATATTTTATTTATTTATTTATTTATTACAAGTTAGAATCCTGAAAAGTTGTGATATAAAAGCCAATAAAATTCAAAGAAAATTTTGGGTATAAAAGGAAAGATAAGATGCAAAACCCTATCTTGCTTGGGAATGATTTTGTTGGCCATGAAATCTCACTACTTGGACTTAGAAAGTGTACTCAATTACCACGTTTTTAGAATTATATAATATTTGATTTGTACGTACTTATAAATCTAGTGGGATGAGACACTTTGTCCTTTAAACAAAGTCAGGGGTTCGAATCTGATGTTTACGAATAGAGCAAAATGGGTTGGGAGGGTCTCTCTCACATCTGCAGTACTCGATCTGGATTAATCGGTCAATAGATCGGATACCAGTGATTATTTAAAAAAAAAACCAGCTTCAAATTTTATCAAGGATAGGAAGATTTCAGGGACTAAAATAAAAAATTATTAAATTAAGAGATTAATTTTTTATTTATTCATTAAAAATATCTTTAAATCTTTTGTTGTGGTTTATTTAGAATCGATCCCGATCTTTTAGTTGGAAGATAACACGTATACTATATCCAATCAAATTACTAACTTAAATGTTGTTCGATGAGTATTGAATTTAAATTACGAATTTATTTAATATTTCACTTGAAATTAAATACTATATATAGTTAAATTACTCGATAAAAATGAATTTTGAAAAAAGATTTTATTTTCAATGAATTATTAAACATACATTTAGTCGAACACTCTAAATATTAATAATTTGAAACCGGTATTTGATCGATTGATTGACTATTTTGAATCGAATTGTACAGTTACTCATTTTGAAAGCGATCATTCCGACCTAATTTGATTCATTCACAAATATCAAAATCCGAACTTCTGATCTTATTTAAGAAATTCCACTAAAGCAACAGGTTGATAATAATTTGGATGTGTTTAAGTGTGGATGAGTCTGTCACGCTCGACAAACATGTGGAGCATCACTAACGATAAGTACCGCTGAGTACCATTAATTTAATTTATAAAATTTAAAATTCTAAAGGGTTCAACATATAATTATAAATTAGTTAAAATTTTAAAAGTAGATCATTTAAAATAAAATATTAATTATATTATTTTCTATAATTTTTTTAACAATAATTGGATCAAATACCAATCTCTAAATTAAAACCCTAAATATTTATTCTTATTTAAATAATTTACTTTAAAATTTTTAATTAATTTATAATTATACGTTAAATCATTTAAATTTAAATTTTTTTATAAATTAAATTAATAGTATTGAATAATTTTTATCGTTAACAGTGCTCAACATGTTCGTCGAAAGTTATAAAAATTTTCATATAGGTACCTGCGAAGATTGCTAGTTTGTATGAATTTAAACATACCATTCTACAAGTTTAATTAATTAGATTAAAGTTTTATTGGACAAAAATAAAGTAAAAAGTAAAGTAACTAGTGAAGGTTTCTAAAATGCGCCCGGTGCGTATACTAATAAGGGAGCCCAAGGTCGCGCAGGTTATAAAATGTTATGCTGAGCCCACTTTTGTCAACAGAAGAAAAAAACACTTGAGACAAATTCCTTCACACTACTCCATGAAGCTTTGATCCTCTAATTTCCTTCTTTTCTTTCATCTAGTAGTTCAATTATTTGTTGAATCTCGTTTTCAACTGAAAAGAAAGCAATTTTCCTCGGAAAAAACTCGATCTTCTGCGAGTTCAATCATCCATGTCGTCGGATATACGCTAGACAGGCTTCTCTGCTAAAATTTCGCTGCTGTCTGTATTTTTTTTCACTCTCTTTTCAACGAATCGGAAAGATTTTCGTTCTAAAGATGGCTGGATGCAGAAACGACTTCAACGGAGTAAATTGCGACGAGAGTTTCATATTTGACCTCACGAGTTTGATCTTGTAATTGGCATCTTAAAGATCGTTTCTTTTTTGTTTTTCTGTTTCTGTCATTGGGTGTCGAGGAATGGGAACGGATAGTTTGCTACTGCCAACAGTTGGACCTCCAATTAAACCGCGAGCAGGGTTAAGGAGAAAACAGGCTGGAAGAGGCTCTTACAGGGGAAGTTAGGGGCTTTATTGCAAACAAAATATAGGTTGGGAGAGCGTTTTTGATTGAAATTTGGTTGCTTTTAGTTGGGGGTGGGGGGCTTTTTGAACAAAATAAAAGAGTTGGTTTCTGTTTTTGAGGAGAGATAGGGATGGGCAGCAGTACAACTAGCAGTGGATTGCACCAGATACTGAGAAGTCTCTGTCTCAATACTGAGTGGAAATACGCCGTTTTCTGGAAGCTTAAGCATCGAGCTCGAATGTCAGTAATCTGCCTCTTTCTTACCTTTTTGTTTCCTTTTAAGTTTATCGCCATTTTCTTTCAATTTATTGGTTTATAGTATCTAGTTCTTGGCCTAGTTTACAAAAAAATAAAAGCATATGAACATTTTGTCGTGGTCAGCTAATTCGATGTCTGTATGCCATCTGCATCTAATTATTTGGAGTTTATGATCTAAGATGAATTGAGGTTTTGTTTAATTTTTAAATTATAGTTGCCATGTTATTTTGGTTAGGATGGAATGGTTTTGACCCTTGGATTTGGCATACAATATAATCCACACCTTTTTTTCTTCTTTCTATTAGTATTATTGAATTGCAATCTGCCAATTTTTCAGAAGCTCTGGAAATTGACTTACTTGCTTTTTGTGTTCTTTTGATTTCCTTTTTAAAGAGATTTTAAAAGAGAGAAAAAAAAAGTAGTGGACTGATACCACTTGAATATTCGGAGGGGTTCTTATGTTGTTTTTTAGCTTTGGAATATTGTTCTAAGATTATTAGAAGTAAACTAATCACTCTGTTCTACCATTAATAATGGTTACTTGTGATCCTTAATGTTGAACTTATTGCAGGGTGCTGACTTTGGAGGATGCGTACTACGATAATCATGACCAACATGATCCTTCGGAGAATAACTGTTTGCAAGATTCATTAGAAAACTTGCACAGTGGACATTATTCCCATAGCCCCCTTGGTTTGGCTGTGGCAAAGATGTCTTATCAAGTATATTCACTAGGGGAAGGGTATGGCTCAACCCATTGATAAATTTGTTGTTTATTGTTTGGTATTTTGTTTTTCATTGTTACTGCAGTAGTTAAAGAAATCTGATACAAGGGTACAATCAGTTGAAAATATGGTCTTTTAAATTTAATTGTGATTACGATAAGTACCAAATTTCTGCATCTGAAAAGAAGTGGGTAATACAAGCAAGCGCATGTAGCTTATGCAAAAGTCCAGTTAGTAGTTATTCCTTGTTATGCAGGATTGTTGGACAAGTGGCAGTTTCTGGAAAGCATCAATGGATATTTGCAGATAAGCATGTTAACAGCTCCTGCTCATCGTTTGAGGTGAGGAGCTTTACCAAGCATTGATGTCTAACATACTGTTTCAGAGTTGATTTTATTTTCAATACTCAGTCTGTTTTATGCCTTAATTTGATTTGAATTTCAGTTATCTGATGGTTGGCAAAGTCAGTTTGAAGCAGGGATCAGGGTATGTTATGCATGCTTTTACTCTTTTTTTAGTTGTGATGGTTGCCATGGTTCAACACATGGAAGTCTATAACTGATAATGTTTCTAGGTCAAAGGTCCATATATTTTTTATGGAACTTGCATTTTGAGTGAAGGCGTTTTATTCCAATTCACTTTTACAATTTATTGGTCTAGTTTATTTGACCTTAGCATAAAGTGAATACAAGTTTCAACTTGCTTAATTTTTACTGTAGGAGTTATAAGAAAATTCCTTCCATAATGTTGCCTGCAACCGTCTTTTTGCGGTTTTGCCTGAAGTTTAATTTTCCTTCCATAAATATATATGGTTATGCTATTAATAGAATTTTTCATTTTTCCTTGTAGACCATTGTTGTTGTTGCTGGTGTTCCACAGGGAGTTGTGCAGCTTGGCTCCTTAAATAAAGTAAGATGAGTTCAATTTGTTTTGGTGTTTTTTCTACTTTATGAATGTTTATCAAAGACTTTACTTTAAGTTGATGTTTGTGCAACTTCTTTTGGGGGTTTCGGGATGGATATGGATATCTTTGGCCTCCTAAAATTTTTATTTTATACGAACACCTCTTGCTTGCATGAAATATGTTGTGCACTATTATATTTGTGTCAATAAAGGAGCTAGCTTCTAAAAATTTAATATTTTCATGTGGCTTTCTCTTGTACGTTTGATACTTTTTTCTTCAGTATTTTTATTACTAGTTGAAAGCCTTTTGATTCTCTGAATTCTCAACTCTATATTTATGTTTATAACATGACAAAGTTACTAAAGTATGTTTTAATACGGCCCAGTCCTAGAAGCCATTTCTGGATTTGACATTTAATATGATTGCCATTAGTCTGTTGCTTTTTGTTCTAGTTCTTTTGAACTGATATTCTAGACAGCAATACAATCCTAAGTTGTATTTATCTGAATGGAGCAGGTATTTGAGGATGTGAAGCTTGTGAGTCACATTAGAGATGTGTTCTTTTCTCTTCAAGATTCTTATCTAGGGCATATTGCCAATCCGATAGAATGTAGCATGAAAAGTTCAGTTTTTGAGGTATAATTCAGTTTCTCCTTCACTTTGTGTATCAGAATGTGTACATGCATGCAACCTTGCAAAAGATTACATGTACATTTGTTTACGTTATTAATACTTATGAATTTTCATTTTGCAGCCTGGATTACATGCAAAACTATTAGATTCAGAAGTTATTTCTTTAGATAAAGCTGTAGACGAAGAAGGGTCGGGTTTTTCGTTGCCCGAGTTTTCACATTGCCAAAAAGGCTGTGACAGTTCATTTGTTTTTCCACTGGGGAGTAATCATCAGAAAAGGACAGTTGAAGTGGAAAATAAGCATGAAGGGCATGAGTTATCCTCAGCAGGGAGTGATGAGACTGCTAAATTCTTGAATCCAAGTTCAAATGTTTCCAACTTGGAGCATTTAAATCAGTTGGGGAGGAATTTGATAAACAATGGGGTATGCAAAGGGGAGACTAGTGGGTGGAAAAGTTCAAGTATGGGACCAGAAAATGTTTACACAAACCATCCTGTTGTAGATAGTACGGATTTATTTAATGTTGCACTTCAAGCTGAACAGTATGGAACAGATCATAAATACTACTCAAACTTACTTCAATCTGCAAATAGTGGTACTGTTAAGTTGGGTGGTTTGAATTCTTATCAAAATGAGGTGTTAGACACTCCTGAATCTTCAGACATAAAATTTCAAAAGCATTTGAAGTCGGGGAATCAAAATGATTTAAGTGAATTAGACTCTAAAAACACTTCCTCGAAGTTTTCTGCTGGGTATGAGCTTTATGAAGCTCTTGGACCAACGTTTTTGAGAAAGAGTATCTATCCTGATTGGCAGGTAGAGAATACAGAAGCTGGAGCTAATATTGAAATGCTAGAGGGGATGAGCAGCAGCCAATTAACTTTCAAATCTGGTTCAGAGAATCTCCTAGAGGCTGTTGTAGCAAATGTTTGCCATAGCGGCAGTGATATCAAAAGTGAGAGATCATTTTGTGGAACCGCACCATCATCGCTGACTACTGGAAATACACCAAAGTTTTCAGGCCAAACAAAACATACTATTAGTTCAGCAGGTTATTCAATTAACCAGTCCTCTCTCAAGGAAAAAAGCACACAGCAATGCTTGAGTTCGTCAACTCTACGTGGTGCATTGTCTTCAAAAGGGTTTTCTTCTGCTTGCCCTAGCAACTGTAGTAAGAAGTCTTCAGAACCAGCTAAGAACAACAAAAAGAGGACTAGACCTGGCGAAAATCCCAGGCCTAGGCCAAGGGACAGACAACTCATTCAAGATCGTATTAAGGAGCTAAGGGAGCTTGTACCTAATGGAGCAAAGGTAAATTACTTTCTGTTCACACTAGTATTGGATTATGATAATTTTCCTTCTTTCTTTACAAATGTCAATCAACTAAAATTTCAAGAAAAAATATGCAGTGCAGTATTGATTCATTGCTGGAGCGCACAGTCAAGCACATGGTCTTTCTGCAAGGCATCACGAAGCATGCTGACAAGCTCAGTAAATGTGCTGAATCAAAGGTAAGGCAGTGTACTGGTTAATGATTGTTTGGGTTCAGTAAATTAGATACTGAGATCTCACTGATCTGATTGAGTATTGGGGGTGATGAATTAAATGATCTCACTTAAGTTCTACCAGAATTTTTTTTGGGGGTGGGGGTGGGGCCTTGTACCTATGGGCTTTGTAGGCATATATTACATATTATTCTTGTTTTTCATGAAATGGCAACTCAATTACTGTACACTAGCTGAAATAAAGTGTCGTTACATCTTGCTGATTTTGTAGATGCATCACAAGGGAGCTGATTTGCTTGGATCATCCAATTATGAACAAGGTTCAAGCTGGGCAGTGGAACTGGGAAGCCATCTAAAAGTTTGCTCAATAGTAGTTGAGAATATAAACAAAAATGGCCAGATGCTTGTAGAGGTACAGAGTCTGTGTAGTTTCATGATACTGCTTCTGTTGATATGATTATTACTTTGTTGTTTACTTATGATTTCACGGTGGGTGCTTGGTGTATGTTATTTTCTCATTGGCTATAGTTATTGTTTGCTAAGTTTATGATCTCATTGGTGGATTCACTGCTTACAGTATGTTAGTTTAGGATATTTTGTTTATTATTTCACCTGTGACAAACAGAGAAGGATAATCTGAAAATGACACAATGAAAGGTTTTTTTTTGTTTTTTTTTTTTTCTTGATTTTAAAGTTAGTTTATTTGATCCATGCAGTTGTTGTGCGAGGATTGTAGTCATTTTCTCGAGATAGTGGAGGCCATCAGAAGCTTGGGCTTGACAACTTTAAAGGGGGTTACAGAAGCACGTGGTGAGAAGACTTGGATATGTTTTGTGGTTGAGGTAGGATTTATGATATTTTAATCTTGTCCATCATGGGTTGTGTCGTTTTGTCTTTGCTGCTGTGTCTTCCATCGGTAATGTCCCTGTCCGAACCATACCCATTGGATGCTGTCAATGACTCCTCTTTATATTTATGATATTTATGCATTGAATGTATTATAAGTTACACGCCCGAAACTCCAAGCATGTGCAAACTGCATTATAAGTGCCCAACGATTCAGTTCTTTAATCCTCTTTCAACTTTGTTTCCCATTTTACAATCTAATACCTAATTATGAAAACATTGCAGGGACAGAACAACAGAGTTATGCATAGAATGGACATCTTATGGTCACTTGTGCAGATTTTGCAATCGAAGGCTACAAGCTAGCTGCAATTGCTTGTCACCTCTTGGAAGTAGTAATGGTTTCCACTGTAACATATTGCGAATGGTTTGTGATTTTAGATTGCTTTATGGTTTTTGTTTCTTGTCTTTATCTTCCATTCCCCTAAAAGAATATATAAAGTAGGGGAAAAGAAGAGAGAACATCCTTGAGAAACATTTTGTGAAGAGTTTTTGCTTCTGTTCTTCATAGTGTGTGGAAATGAAATTTACCACTTGCTTTTATCCTTACCAATTTATATCAGACATCATTAGCTGTTTGAAAGTTCTGATAAAAATCCAATATTGGGTGCCTTTGCTGTATATTTTCCTGCAGTTACTGCTTTAGACTTGGTTCTCTAATTGTCAATTCAACATATACCATTAAATAGAAGATCGGATATCATAGAATGTTAGTATCTAAATTACATCTACTTTATTACCGTGATCCTTAAAACGATGGTCATGTAGTATCATCCCACCGTAGATTATACATTTTGATGTGAGGAAGGCTTGAGCTTCCATCCAGACCTTTGGCCCTGAAATAGGCCATGTATTCAGTGATATGAATTTCCCTGTATACAGGCGTCAGAAGCTCTTATTGGGGCATATGGTTATGTTTGTTTACAGTGCTTGCATAGAAAAAACATATCACTGATACCCTATGTAATTGTCCCGCTAGCACCTCATGCTCCACACACTTGAATTTGTCATTTGTGATTGAGCTAATAACAAAGAAAAGACAAACCTAGTTTGTTATTCTAGACTAGGAGAAAAAGTAAAGTGTTTGTGTTTATACGTGCATATCCTGAATGAAATCACCAATGCTAATCACAAAAGTTCCTGGAAGAAACGAAACATTGACCCAGTTACTTCGGGGAAGAGCTTGGAAGAATCATGTGATTTGAAGGAGGAATGGTCGGCAGAGATGGGTCCGTGTCTGGTTGCACCCAGAGTTACTTCTTGTTCAGACGACGTCTTTCTTGTAGCTTGATCATGAGTTTTATGAATTCACTTGCAGCTTCCCTACGAAAGACTTTTTGAGAATTTTCTCAGTTTGCAGCTGTTGTTTACACACAGTGATAAAATTGTGTTTCTTACAATAGTACCTCAATATTGGAGGAAAAAGTTGGGACTCAAGTTGACCGTCATGGAAAAAAAATGCTATAGAATCCCTCCAGTTTGCAGCTCCTTTGTTTACACACTAATAGTAATAATCCCTGCAATATCATTTCCACGTCTCATCCTTTGGTTGTTTATGGAACCCAACGTATGCTGTCCATAATGCTAACAGGAACTCCATGGTTAATAACTTGAAAGTTCCTGATTCTTCCATGATCCCATCCAGTATCTCCTTCCTTCATAGGCCACCTCCCAAGCCTGAACATGGAAACAATCTGTCCTACTAGTGGAAGAATATTTCAGGCTTTCCAGTGGATGGATGGATGGATGAACTTGGGAATCTTGACAGCACCCAAATCGGCAAGTCCTTTAATCCCCTGGCATTAGTTTCATTAAGTCCTTCACTTCCGTTGATCTGCCACTTGAACCCTCTTAAGAAATCATATGACCGTATGAGCACAACACCCTGGAATAGATCTAAAATTAATTGGATTATCTAGGTTCCAGAACAGAAACACTTATCCTTCAATGTAAATTTCTTCAGGAAAAAAGAAAAGAAGTTCCTTCTTTCATAGAATAATTCCTACTTATATGAACGTAAAATCGGTACAAATATAAAGTAACGGAGTTATGTGCAGTTTCAGGGGATATTGCCCCTAATTTTTTATTATTAAAAAATATATAAAAATAAATATTTATTTAGACCTTCAAATTTTAATTTATTTTGATTGAGCTCCTCTCTTTTTTTATTATTGATTATATTTTGTTCCATTGAACTAAAATCAAAACTCCGTTCATGATGGTATAGGAATTTTGGGTAGTTATGTTGTATGACAGTTTAATATATGGCTAAGGAAAGGCGCTATCGGAAATGTTAATATTTTTTTAACATTTCTAATAGAGCTTTACTTAAAATGTTATTTTTTCTATCGGAAATGTTAGTTTTGCTACATAAAATGAATATTTCTAATATTAATATTTTCAGTAGAAAAAATAATATTTTAGGTAGTGACATTTTCGGTAACACCTTTTCTTAGCCTTATTTAAGCCGCCTGTCCTCGAAATTTTAGTAAGAGATCGTGAGTACATATTGAAACATTACAAATATGATAGATGATTTAGGATATTTTATGATTAGAGGATATTTTTTTAAAAAATTCAAGAGACCTATACATATAAATAAATAAAATAATTTGAATGATTATAAATTAAAGAGAAAATAACTTCAATGACCGAAAATGCCTTATAATATACGATTTTAATCAATTTTTTTGGATTTGTGAAAATAACCAACAAATTCACAACACAGTTTCCAAATTCGCAATGCGATTATTCAAATTCGCAATGCGAACTCCAAATTTACGACGCTAATTCCGAATTCGCGACGCTAATTTCAATTTCGCAACGCGATTTTCAAATTCGCGACGCTAATTCCGAATTCACGACGCTAATTCCGAATTCGTGCCCTTAACAACCGGCATCCTTTTCTTTCCTATAAACTAGCATGAGTCAGAGTAATGCTTTTATGCTATATATATATATATATATATATATATATATATATATATATATATATATATAGTTTCCTCTTTAATCCAACCGTAAGTAAAAAGGGTTAAAATATAATTTTATTATTTTAAATTTAAAAATATTAAGAGAACTAATTTTGATGATTTTTATTTTATCATGTTTTGCTTTATCTCTTTTGCATAACTTCTGAAATCTCTGTACATAGCAGGATTCGTGTCGCGAATTCGAAATCGCGTTGTAAAATTGGAGTTCGCGTTGCGAATCTGGGTAATCACGTTGCGAATTTGGAAACTGTGTTACGAAATTGGAGTTCGCGTTGCGAATTTGTTGGTTATTTTCGCAAATCCAAAAAAAGTTTGTTAAAATCGTATATTATAAGGTATTTTTATCACTGAAATTATTTTCTCTAAATTAAAACCCTAAATTTATTATTATATAATAAATACTACGTATAAATAACTATTCATAGACGGGTAAAATGATCTCATAAAACAGATAAATTATTTCATGGTCCTTTCCACCACATCATTAACGGTCTCAACAAACTTAAAAATACACGACAATCTGTCATTCACACACATAAATTTTATTTTCCAAATCAATTCCTTCATTAATACATATCACAATTAAACCTAGATTTAAGCATTATTTTTGGGATTTTCATTAAATCATATAATGCTTTTACCTCTCTTCATCCGAGTTTTCTCTGTTCTTGTTGATCCGAGTTATTTTTCTCTATTCAAAGTCTCTCTTTTTATCTCAAATTCATAAGATTTCATGGCTTCCAAAACTAAGATTTTTATGACGTATAAAACTTATGGAATGAATATTCATGAAAAATATCAAAATCAACGGACGGTCATGCCCTTGCCTGCTCTTGGTGTTGTCCTCACTGGACGTATCTTAAGTCTATTAGTCATATACTATACATTAAGTCTATTAATTAATGCTTAATCCCACCTTAATAATTAAAAAGAAAACAAATTAACCCAATAATCAACACACTTTTCACTAATCTTTTGACAAAGATGGGAGTTGGAAGTGTCTGTCACGGTCTAACTTCTTACTAATATAAAAATATTTCATTTACGAAAGAAACGGTCCATACTCTGTTCTTTATCTTTTTCAAACTTTTTAATCATATTTTATATATAAAAATGGAGTTCAGTTCAGTATTTCTTTCCTTCTTTTCCTTTAATGTCAGAGCTTTGTTTTCCCCTTGGTTGAGCTCACATTCAACTAATCACCAATCACCCCCAATTTAAATATTCTTCATTGAAATAGTTCCTATACTTTTTTCCTCATATGCCAACTTGGCTTAGCTTACATTATCATTTTGCAGATTCGTAAATGGGATGCGATGAGCTTGCAGGTCTAAAATGGTGGACAGGTTGTAAACCTGAAGCTCAGCCCTGGGCTGGGGCTTAAATCTTTTTGCTTTACTTTATTTTATATACAACAGAACTGACAAGAATTAATCACCCATAAAAAGGTACTGTGTTTTCTTGAGAACAGTCTTGGCTTATACATCATTGTTTTGAGAAAACAAAAAGGATCATCAGCATCAGAACAGAAGCAGGATCAAATGGTTCAGTTTATGATTAGTTTCTCATCATTCTAAGGGCAATTGCTTGAAGCTCACCCAAATCACTATCAAATGGTCTCTCAGCATGGAAAGCCAAGTTTTCTATACTAAGCATTTCTTGTATATTCATGGTGTCACTGTCAGCACCGTTGAGTTCGACTTCAACCGATTCAAGTGAGCTTTGTGGGGAAATCGGATCATTTGGAATGGAAGGGAATAAACCAGAAAGGTTTTGTTCCCACTGACCTTCCATGGTATGTGAATTCATGGCATTTTGAGCTAGCTGAGCTTTGACTTGAAGTAACTGAGCTTGCAGGCATGCCACCTATATGAAACCAAGACAAAGAGAACATCCAGTAAGATTATAAAACCGTTGCATATATGTCTGATACTTTGATAAAACTTTTAGAGATGTTCGAAACTGTGAGCTTCCTTAATTACCTGTTCTTGCAAGGAGAAGATGTGAGCAATGCAACCGTAAACGGGGTCTCGGATCCTTGCTTGAGCCTCGTAAGCAATGGAGACAACCGCCTCGCAACGATCATGAGCTGGGATGTGCAACAATAATTTGGAAACATGCTAGCGCCGAACACTTTGTGAATGGCTGCAAACCGTGTAGGGCCTTGTTCCGAACTGAAGTAAGGCGCGAAAATACAGTCCGAAACACATTTTCGTCTCAGGAACTTGCATGCACCACAAGGGGAACCGGTGGTACCAGATGGTGCCATGACAGAGTTCACAACGGAAAGAAAAGAAATATGCAGAGAGTAGCTAGAGATCAGGAATAAGCGAAATAAATATGTTGAAATTTTTCCAAACCACACGAGTGCACTAGGAATTTGTGCTAAAGGGAAGAAATAGGCTTGAATGGAGGGGTAGATCCTTAAGGGGCACAACAAAAGGGGTAGTCTTATAAGAGGTGTGAATGGGGTACATTGGTGGCCTTTGTGTAGGGTTCTAAGGAGACATTTAATAATGG